ATGTATGTATGTATGTATGCCTGACAGCCTAAGATTTTAAATTTTGTGACGATAGTTTTTTCGCACCCAAACTGGGAAACTGAACCTTTGCGGACGGCACAACAATAACTGGGGGAAATTAACTCGGTAGACACCACTCGGCAGCGAGAACGGAAACTCTTCATGATTTCCTGGTACATGGAGATCTACTTCTAGCGAGCCTGTACGGACATCAAGTATGAGACAAACGGTGGTTCCACAGTGAACTTTATTCTAAGTCAGGCCAACAAAAGACAGGACCTCTAGTTGTAATCATCTAAACTGTACAAGGTAGCTGCTTCAGTTTTCAACTAACTGGTATGAAATGCTATTGTTATCCAAATCAACCATATTTAAACATCAAAACAAAAGAAGTTATAGCCGAGTTGGCTATAATCATCTCATATCCAACAAGCGCGAGTGGAATAATTGTTTTATTAAAAAAAAAGGCCCCCAAGATATTAGGCAAATCTTCTCGATTTTATTTTGTGGTAAGAAACCGGATGTTACAATGTACAGATATCAGATTATGGTATATTGGCTCATATACCATAATGGCTAAGGCAAAAAAAAGTCTTGAACTGCATTATCCAATGATCCAGGTCTTAATAATATAAATTATCGATCAAAACTAAGCTTTCTTCCCATTAATACTTCATTTAGAGAAGCCTAGGCGCACCTTGATATCCCTAAAAACAAGCAGGCGAGACGTCTTTCAGTTTTTCGTGGGCAATAAATTCAAATGGAATGGAAAAAAATCCCATTATTTTAGGGACTTACCTGATAGCTGGAAACGAGGTTGAGGCGCTGACTGCAAACGTCACCAAATCTGTCATAGTGGTCATGGTGACAGTTGATTCCGAGTGCATCATAACCGCTTTGATCTTTGCTGTCGTTGAAAGGTCACGTGGTTGCCGATCAAGCTCGTCCACCATGATAAACATGTCGTCGATGCCGATTCCAAGAACGAGGAACGGTAGCACTCCAACAAGACTGACAAATGGAACGCGGAACCACATACCTAGGCCGAGTCCAGCCAAAATGCCTAGGGCCACTGTGAAGACTCCTGCGTTAGCAAGCAACGTATGATCGTTCAACGGATTTAAGAACTTTCCCAGCATTGTGCAAGCAAAGGAGATCATAAGGGTGAAAGTGATTGACACCAAAGTGACGTCAGACCCAGTGCTTTCAGCAATGACATCGTCAAGGCTCCTTTCACTTCAAAAGTGGACTTCGTAGCAGGAGAGATCATCTCTCAACGATGAAACTTTGTCAATAAAACTCTTCTCCCAATTAAGAACTTTCTCGTTCATGTCGTCGTCACCGGGGTCACGGACCAGATACACCATTTGCAATGCCTTGGCGCCAGTTATGATTCCATGTTTTCGAGTAACATTACCGAACAATCGGTTAAAGTTGAACCGGAAGGGGTGACCATTTCGCATGTTCAAGCTGGTGTCGTTGCATGCTTTGCTCAGTTCATGTTGAACCTTTTTTATGTCTTTATCAATCAATAAAGTTTCGTTGAACTGCACGAATTCCAGTGGGTTGATCATAACGCAGTCTTCTGGTGATCTGGATTGGTTCCCCAACAGAGTGACAAAGAAGTCGGAATAAGATTCCAATTCAGTGACTGCTTTGTGTGCTCGAAAGGCTTGTCTCAGACACTCAGGGGATAGAACATTAGGATGGCTAGGCGATGCCACCAAAAGGACGATTTCTTCTCGAAAATTGACTCGAAAGTATCTTTCTGCAGCTTCTAGGTCATCTATGGCCTTGCTTGTTTCGGGGATAAACAGTTTTACGGTTCTGTTTTCCACTTGAAACCAGATAAATCCCACGGAACAGTCACTGACAAACACAAGACATATGTGGATTGTTATCAATGGATGTTTGGCGATTCCTGCAGCAAACCAACCAAAGAAGCGTTCTAAAAGACGTAAGTACCAGCTGCAGATCGAAGACCAGACACTATATGGATTAAAGGGATACTCTCCACCAAATTTTAACATTTAATTAAAATGTAGATCTTTTGCCAAAACAACTACTGGACGAGGAAAAAGTTCCCTCAAACTTTTCATTCGATTAAAATCCTGGTACAAAAGCGCGAAATTGACTCAATTCAAAGACCGGAAGCTTGTCACAAGAAAAGCGGGTTGAATACGCTAAATACATCAAGCAAAATAAGATGGTGGATAGTCTTCTTTGCGTGCTGTTTAGACTGATTCCCCGGAAGTCGACAGCAGTGGTAGTGGAAACAGATGATTCTGAGCCAGATATAAGGCGTCTTGGGGGTCAGCGTACTATCCAGCAGTTTTATTTCTTGTTTCAATGGATGCCGGCCATTGTTAGGCAATGGTGGAATAGTGTAGACAAGCGTCAATCTGCTATTGCGGACAAGTAAGGGGCCTGCATTACTTTCTTTAAATTCAATAAAATTGAGTCCGGTAACGGTATATTTTAGCGTCAAATATCAACATTAATTGGGGTTTTTCGAGGCCAACACAAAGAAATTGTAAATAGAAATTGTAAATAAACATAGTGTTAAAAAATCACGACACGCTATGGTGGAGTCAATGGGTTAAATTTAGGGCAACCGAGAACAAAATGTCCACTAAGTAACAGAGTGAAGGACTTGAATTCGGGACCACTCGGTCACACTGGCTCCACATTTACAGTTACAATTGATCGATTTTGTCTTCGATTGGTTGTTGATTTATCGATGTATCCCATGGAAACTCGCCTTCCATTGAATAAAAATTTCTAGAGACAGATCGGTCCAAACCGATCAAAATTACTGAGAAAGTGCATAGTAATATTAGATAGAAATGTTTTGAAAATCAGTTCAGTAACTCATTTGGATGAAGAATAATTTCCTTCTTGCCCGTGTTCGCTTAGATTCACCACTTCCCACATAACCCCACAGCTTTGCCAGCGCGAAATGCAACTGGTTCAAAACTCGTCGATCTGGTTTGACAACATGCAGGTCAAGGCCAGACCCAATGCCCGCGAGGGGGCCGCGGTTTATGCGATTGAGGAGATCTCTTTGGAGCTGGTAGTGAAATTGGCGCCAAACCATCCACTGGGAGTGGTGTCTGTGGAGAGCGGTTAGAAGATCGGAGTGACAGCAGCTCAATGGAGAAGCTGGATGCTTCAGATGACAACGTTTCTTACACATCAGGTAAATGTCAAACTACTGCTGTTTTAAATTTTCGCTTGTCCTTTATTTCATGTAATGGAAAGATCTATTTTTTCGCGAAACGTTCTTCTCGCCTTTTTCAAAGCAATTGAGTTTCACCTTCTGAGACTCCGAAAGTAACAGCCCTCGATACATTCGAATTAAGAAGCCGCATTAAGGAACTTTGCAATATAAGTTGAATTTAACGATGTAATACTCCGATGTTTTTTCCCATCAATTTAGATACAATGACTTCGATAAATGTCATTTTTGTATTTCTGATTTCAGAATGGAAGCATAATGGATGGCCTCATTCTGTGGAAACGTAACGTTGACAAGCGTTTCGAGGGCGTAGAAGACTGCATGATCTGTTTCTCTGTCATTCATGGCAGCAACTACTCTCTTCCTAAATTGAGCTGCAAAACATGCAAGAAAAAATTCCATTCGGCCTGTCTTTATAAATGGTTCAGCACCAGTAACAATGCCACTTGTCCACTTTGTCGGAATCTTTTCTAATCCTTAAACTTTCGAAAGTTAGCAACATGTATTAATAGGGACCTTAAGCAACCACGACGGCGACGGCAACGGCAACGGCAACGNCCGCTCCCCAAGATAATGAGCAGGAAAGTAAAACAGGTTTTCGCCTCGAAATTCAATTAAATTATAGGCAGCTCGCGAAAACAAAAAGAAAACGAGGCGAGTTGAGCTGGGAAATTTTCCAGATCAAGTACTGTCCAAACGGCAATAATTAAGCCCCAGTTCCCATCAGAATCTGTGTGGAGAGTCTCCTGTAGATGTAAGGTTAGAACTTGTTCTACTTATTCAACACAAGGACTCAGTGTACGCAGTAGTCAATTATTACTCAGAATTTTAACGCGTGGTTGGGCATAGATCAAATTTTCAATATCACTTTGGTCTTCTTTCTCCGATACTTGTCGTTGTATGACCGTCAATTTATCTAACCTCTAAACAAACGTTGTCTTTAAACTTCATCTGCGTCTGTTGATGACGCCTGTGGTTTACTTTTAGTTCGGAGTTTTAGTGCTCTGGCTAACGCTTTTAAAATTAAAAGTCAACCGGTCATTTAAAAGGATGGTGAAAGAAAGCGGGGAGGGGTACGGTCAAGATCACGTTTCACGGAAAATAAATTGGTCCTTTCACAATTCACGGGAAATAAATCGGTGTTTCACGTTTCGCGAAAAAGAAATGCATTTTTTGATACGAACGTACGTAACTTGTGATCTTTGGAAAGCTGCGCCCAAAGCACAGCCTTTTGTGATGTCTTGACCATCTGTCCTCTTCTTGTTCTGGGTGCAGCATAAAGAAAATCGAGCTCCTTGTCAGTATACATGACTAAGGGCACCACTCTCTACTGCTACATCATCCGATTCACTGTCGGAGGAGTCTTCATCGTATTCGGAAAGTTGATCACTTCCAGAATCCCTTGATGAAATTGCACCCTCTCTTCCTCTATCTTCATTTTCTGGCGCAAACTGTAGCCGTTCCCCCTTGTGGAGAACAGTCTGGTACATGTTCAGGTGAAGACTTCCAGCCTTGTACTTCGTTGTTTCTTGTCGGACAGTGCGTTGTCTGACGTATTTACCGTAGACGTTTTCCTAGTTCCTCATGAGATCTTGGTCAGTTAAACTCATGGAAGGATACCTTTGTTGTATCATTCTTGGAAAATCCTCAAGATGGATTGTGTCAAAGGTTCCGGATAATGCGATGATGAGTGTGTGAAAGATACACCATTGTCGTTGGGTTCGAATGCAAAAGCTTTCCACAGCTCCTGGTGAACGAAATGTTCGCATAAAGGTGCAGTCAATACTGCTCTGAACTCGTTTTGCTTCAGCAAGAGATCTCACTCCGCAAAAGTCTAATACAGTTTTCTTTTTAAAAGGGATCCAAATCCTTATGCGCTGTACTAGAGAACAGAAAACGGGATTTCTCCTTGTGAATTAAAACTTTCTTGTAAGCTTGTGTGATAAAGACACTGATAAAAAACGGTTACATTAGGTAAAGGATGCAGATATCTACCTTGATCTGTTTACGCCATAATGAAATTGCAATTGCGCGTGGATGGGTCAAATAACAAATCTGAAGAAGGGTCACCGAAGACCAAGAATACCGTGACAAAGGTCAAGTTGTCCTGTCACGGTTGCAAAATGTTGTTTATTATTGTCGAAACTACAACCAAAATCACGGTTCACGACAAATTGAACACTTCTTTCGCATTTCACGGAGAATGATTTTGGAAAATCACGGTTCACGGCTATTAATGAAATCACGATTCACGAGGAAAAAAAATAAGGCATTTCACGTATCACGGGAAAAATAGGCCATTCACGAATCACGAAAATACCTTTTATCACCCTCATTTAGAGTACGTCACGCACTCTAGGAAGGATATGGAAAACGATTAAAGTTTCACCACTTTATTGATTGATTAAGATTTACCACATCTCATAAGAGCGTTTGATCAGAAACGATGCCATTGAATTGATTTGGCTGCTATTGTCCTCTTCACTGTAAAACTCCGTGCACAGCTTCATATGTCCAGCGCATCTCATAGATCAATCTACTTGAATTAAAACCAACTACTACTTTTGAAATATTTGTTACTGAGAAAGAGAGAACTAAATAAAAGTCACAGTTCCACGTTTATAGTCAGCCTACTGCTTTTGTAGTTTCCAGTAGGCGCGGTTGTAATAATTTGCATCAGCACCAACAACAGTTGGAGCTTCAAAACCCGAGGAAGCCTTCCATCCTCCTTCTCCTCCACGGTTTCCTTTCACTTCGGAGCCATCTTGAAAGATATATCTGCGCGTCACCACGTTTTCAATGAAGTATTTGCCATCTCCTTGTGGGATGATTTTCCAGTACGCTCGATTGTAGTAATTGGCATCCGCTCCCACAATTTTAGGTGCTTTGGTCCAGCCTCCTTCGCCTCCACGACCGCCTTCAAGTTTTGCACCAGTTGAAAACAAATACCTCNAAGGATCCTGATAAAATCGCCAGGACACCAGTAATAAATGATTTCGAATTTGGTGGCTTAAAGGTAACTGATCTTATAACGTCAATTATGTCACTCCGACTTTCGTGGATCGAAAGATTTATAAGCGATGATTTTTCTCCCTGGATAGCGTATCTATTAAATTTATTAAAACCTTTTGGGGGAGATTTTTTTCTTCGTTGTGATTATAATATTGATGTTTATAACATTTCCCCAGTACTTCATAAGGAGATGTTACCGACATTGGTGGTCAGATTTTCGTTCAAGCTTTGATCTTGTAAGTCCACGTGAAACAATCATCTGGAACAATCATAACATTAGAGTAAATAGTAAACCTAGATTTTATGATAATTGTAATAGCGCAACCATTGTTCTTTTAAGCGACTTAATTTTATTTGAGTAACACGGAGTCCTTTAACCTTGCACAACAAAATAGTTTAAAAGGTTCCAACTTTCTGACCTGGACTGGTGTTCGTTGCGCTGTACCAAGTCATCTAAGAATTCGAAGCCGCGAAGTTAATTAAGATCATGTCTGATCACTACAAAATTTTTGATCCAGCACTTATCAAGTCTAGGGATTTCTACGGTCTGCTTTTATCCAATAGGGCGACAGAGTCCAGAGGCACCATAAAGTTGAAATCAAAATTTTCTATCGCCGATGTCCCTCCCAAAAGAGAGGAAGTTAATGATGAAGTACATCAGGGACTTTCGGTTGGACCTAAATCCTACCGGTTAGAGGTACGCCCGAGGAGCACTAGTGGCGAGTATCCGAGTCGGGCGATTATCGGAAATTGTCGGCTATTCCAAAATTGCGGACTATTCCAGTAACACCATTTGTGATTTAACAACAGTCAAACGACATGACTGAACCAGATTTGAACATCATTACAGACTTTACATGTGAATTATACATTGTAGAGGTTAAATCAAGGATATTTCGCTCAACAATTTGTATAGCTGTTCTCTTTATCCTCGTCGATCTCAAGTTTCTAGTTCGATTCAGCAGAGTTTTAGCTTCACAGACTTTAACACTGTAGCCGCAAGGGCCTACGCTTGCAACTGTAAACAAAACTTATGAATATTGTCGCCACTGTAAAGCCCTTTTCATCGTACTACTGGTTAGAAAGATCTCTAAAGTAGAGACTCTAAGTAGAGTGGTAGGAATATAAACACCTTCGTTTGAGAAACGTGGAGTTTCAAGCTGTCCAGTTCTAATTTTAATCGAGTTTTCCATTGTTTCAATTTTGATCCATATTTTCGAAGCGCCTTGCACAATCCTAACTAAAGCATTAACAAGACGTCACCGAGTTAATCGTTAACTTCGACTACAGTAATGCGATTCTATATGGATTACCTAATGTTCTCTTAAACCGCCTACAGCTAGTTCAGAATAGGGTAGCGCGCATTGTAACATTCACAAAGAAGTATGAACGTATAACTCCCATTTTAATTGACGTACATTGGTTGCCTGTTGAATACCGCATTTCTTATAAAATCTTATTGTTAGTATATAAGGCTAGCAATGGACTTTCACCAAGTTATATATTCAATTTGCTCAGCTTTTGTACCATTTCCTACTCCTTCAGTTCTTGTTCAAATAAGTTACTTCAAGTCCCGAGATCTAAGCTTAAATCTTATGGTGATCGAAGATTTTCTATTGCAGGACCTAAATTTTGGAACAGCATATCCGCATCTTTAAGAAATGCCGATTCCTCTAATTCTTTCAAAAAACACTTAAAGACATATTTAATTCGCCAAGCCCTTTTCGATTTGTAAATATATTTCTATGTAATTTCCATGCTTATATATGTAGTTGTTAGATTTTTCAGTGTTTTTTAATACATTTTGTGATATTTTTAAGCGCCTAGAGCAATTAGTGATATAGACGCTACATAAATAAAGTTAATTATTATTATTATTATTATTATTATTATTGTTTGTATTCTGAGGCAATCCAGTGTTCTTGTGACAAA